CTCTTTTAAATAAACGTCATCTTTATGTAAAAACCACTCATATTTTTGACTGGTAGTCAGTCGCGCGTTCACATTCCATGGATCGTTATAGTTTAACTTAGAAGTCATAGTTTTGAGGTGAATAGCTTCTAAAGTAATCTGCCCAATCATGCAACCATATTCATGAGACTGGTTGAATAAGACAAAGAACTTAGATGAAGCTTAGTGTCGATTGCATTATAATGTCTCTCAGCAGCTTTGTTATTGTCTTGAATGCTACAGTGAAGTGGCATATAGTATGGACAATAGTCAAACTTTGGTTTGGTTAGTTACAGGATTTCATCATTAGCTGATATTGGTTAGAGAACCATTAGAAAACCTGGGAGTACTGGACAGCTGTTTCGTCCTGGTTTGTGACTGTTCAGCAGTACGCACCTACCACCAGGGTTCGAACCCAGGACCTTCTGTTTACAAGGTGAGCTCGTAGCTGTACATATGAATTTGTTACATGTATGATGACTGTAACTTATAAAAACTCGAAGTCACCATACATATGTACCAGAGTGAAAATAATTAATATATAAGCAGGAAAAAAATTTCAGTGATTTACTGTTTTGAATAAGTTCTACTTCAGGATCTACAGTGAAAGTTACAATACAGTGGCCAGTAAAGGCAAATCAAAATTATATCAGAAATTAGATTGGAGAACAGGTATAAAATGAAATTATTGTCCGTTGGTTAGTGCTGTCATTTAAATGCATATAAAATGTACACAATCATTCAGGGAGCACGAGGTGAAATGTGAACGGTTATAATTGATTCATACATTGTGGGGAAGGAAAATGGACAAGTCATATCAAGGTTGTACATCCCCCCCTTGATGCATACTGTTTTGAAATCTACAACCGTGAACTAATTCGTCCGTTTTCCTTCCCCATATTCAATCAATCTATTATGACTAATCGCTGTCATCGTGTTACATTTTTAAAACAAAAGTGTGAGTAGACATGTTTGTGCATTTATAATCAACAATATTTAAGTTTCAGTAACTTGAATATTCCCATTATTTTATTTTATTCTACTTTATTTAAGTTTCAGGGGGTAAGTTATATCCAATGGTGTGACAGAAATATGAATACTACATAAGTGTAGGTTAGAAATGTAATGGGTTGAACGTAAGATTAATAATAAAGTTAGCTAGATACCCTTCTCGCTCTCTTTCACCGAATGATCTTCACACCATTACCCTTTAGACTTACACTAAGCTTATCTCGTCTAAAATATTGATTATATTTCTCTATATGCTCACTTTATTTTATCGTGATGTCTGTTACTTGTCACCCCTGGAACATATATCAGCGTACCTAATCTGTTTGCTTATACTTTTGTTTTACTTATATTTATTTAAAGTCTCTCACGCCATGAACATAACTCATCTCCAGGAAATTAAATTTTGTTAATTGTAAATACATGAGCATGTTACTAAACTGTCGGTTTATATTTTACCGCATGTTCTGAATGACCACATTTTATATGCAATTAAATGACAGGGTTAACCAGCAGACCATTATTATTCCATCTTATACTTGTTCCTCAATATAGTAATTAAACTCTAACCCAGGTGCTTAAATAGTTGAGGAACTTAGTCTCATAACCTAGAGGTCCCGTGTTCTATCTCTGGTGGGGTTGCCATTCTGCGTTGTGAAGAGTCCCAAACTAGGACGAAACAGGTATTCAGTGTCCTCTGATTTTCGGTGATCTCTAATCGATTTTGGTTCTAGAGGGAATCTAACAACTGAAATCATCATATCATTGAGCGGAGAGTTACAAGTAAATAGGGAATGAGTGAAATTGTGCCTATATACACTGAAGAAATAATTTACCAAATTTACATCTGATGGTTTATATTGTATGTGCCTACAATGTTTCTTACAATATTTTAGTTGTAAAACACATTCATGCTACATAAAACGACCTATTAAATATACATTTTTAAAGACTATATGGTTGAGCAATTGACGGATATTCAGACGTGTGTTGTTAAGGAAACTCTGTAAAAGAGAAATGTCATCTATTTTGATATACTGGAAGGTTTTCATTTTATGGTGGCCGATTTTGAAATTTACGAAATTTCAGAAAACTCATTCTAAATGACTGAACTTCCTTCCACTGGAACTGGTTATTTTCAAGTGTTGGTTTGCAGAGATTATGTTGATTCCAATTTCAATCACACTTATAGAGCTGTTAGAAACCAGGGAGTACTGAATGGCTGTATCTACATTGTTTGGGACAGTGGCGGTTGTAGGATAAGTCGCCATTTTTGCAGAAGTTAGGAGTGAATTGAATTTTGTCCAGTGGCTAAGTGGTATACAAGCTCACCTTGTATTTAAACGTCCTTGAATCGACTCATGTATGCGTACTGCAAAGATTCCCAGATAAAAACGAAACAGCTGTCCAGTACTCTCTGTTTTCTAGTGGTTCTCCAACTGTAGCCAACCCGTGAACAAAACTGGGACTGAACGTGTTAGGTTTAGAATAAAATATTTATGAATTTTATATTGGAAAAATAAAATGTTTGGTAGGTCAATGTGTTGTCTTCCATTGAATGAACATGTTATTTTTATACCTTATAAATTTACATCTCAAAGTTTGTAGTCATATGTCTATCCATTCTAGTTTGAATTGGTGAACTGAATGCTCAGATAAAAACGGAAAATCCACATTCATTTAAGTAATAAGCAAATTTTTACTTTAGATAGCTGTAGGCAGTCACTAGGGAATCTTCGATTTAGGCTTTGTGATCGTTGGCACTCATCATTAACGTGCATCTAAAACACTGAAGGAACTGATGTTCCCTCTGAGATCTGAACCCTCATTGTAAACTTTACTGATTGAATTCAGTCATCGCCAACAGCAAGAACTAGACATTGGTTACTTCTTAGTGACCAGTCATTGTTCCCATTACAGTCCAACAGAAGGTCAGTTGTGAACCCAACTAACTCACTAGTAAATCCTTTGACTGTAACTTTGGGTATGTTGGGTTTGAATCTCAGAAGTAGCATCAATTTGTTTGTGTTGCGTAACATTGATTACACCCTGATGACTAATAAATATGAAGTTAGAATTCTTGAGGATTTTTCTGTCGTTTCTTAGCAAAAAACAACAGCTGAAAAATATTTAAAGTTTGTTTGATGTGGCCAAATTAAATCCATACAAGCTTATTTTTCACCGGTTTGTGAGTTATGAGAGTGGTAGTAGAACGTTTTGACGCGTAATTTAACGCCATGGCAAATTGTTAATTGGGGTTCGTCTTTTTCACAGAAGTGCAATATCAGTACTGTATTTTCAGAAATACTCAATCCTGACTTATTATCACAACCTTGGGGGAAGTAAGATGAGGTCAGACAATGAATCGCGCATGTGTGTTTTCCGCAGTGCAACATTAAGATTTCTTTGCTTCAGACTGATCAGGCGACTTAGTGGCCATTCATGATCATTCCCAAAAAAATAAAATACTTGGTTGCGGTTTTAAGAGGGCAGCAGGCGGAATGTTGTCCGCGGTGTTGTATTGACGTATCCACCTCTCGCTGATAGTCAGAATATTTCAGAGTGACATTGGAGGAAAGACAATATACCACAGTTTAGATATGAATTTAAGAAAGCCTCTAAGACATGCAGACATAACAAATAACCTGAATAGTATGTCTAACGTGAACATTTAGCCTCATTCCTATTTACAAGTGTGTGAGTACCTTCCGTGTAATTAACTGAGGTCGAGGATGTTGAATAGAAGTATAATACGAGTGTTTGCAAGTCCATAACTGCTTTCTTAGCAGCAAAGGTTGTATGAACTGACCATGAATAGATTTCCAGTTCGAGTTTTATTTCATTCTAGACTGTCTATCAACTTGCATACTAGTTTAGCATTGTTTGTTTCCAAAGGTTGCATCCAAAATACAAGTGAAGAATGGAAGATTATCCAAAGCTATAAAAATAAACTCAGAAGTCTGACTGGATGCTCATACTATTTCATGCAAGTATTTAATATGATGAAGATTAAAAAAGAAACGAATAAATACCGTAACATTTTCTTATTTTCTGTTTTCATAAATTTATTGATTCACTCATAACTATAATCAGCCACGATTTCTTCAATGGACATATTAGGACATTCGGTGCTCACTAGGTATTTTTTTTTCCTTCACGTTTCCCAGTGGAACATAGGGCTTCAAGCTGGTGGATTGAAGTTTCTGTAGCAGTATGGTTACATTTTACAGGATGGGGTTGTTAGCCTCATGCCCAACCTTTCCTCTTAAGCAGCATTATTTCTGGCTCAGCGACGTAAAGGAGTGCGCCGGCCGAGGATCGAACCCCGGACCATGTGCATGGTCTGCGAGCGTCATAACCACTATGCCACTGACGCACGTGCACACTAGGTACATGTGCATCAATTAAGGACATTCATTTACAAACAAAAAAAATGTGGCTATCTTTAAGATAAGGGACCACTAGTAAGCAGGTCTACTCCAAAGTTGTAATTGTAAAGTAGAGTTCGATTCAGTCAACTGCATGTATAGAAAAGAATAAAATAGAGTAGAATAACATTTTACAGGGGTTTTCGTCGAAATAAGCCATAATACTTCACTAAAACACTAGCCACTCATGCCAATCTTAACTTCTCGGATTGTAATCACCGTAAACATCATGCGGAAGTAAACAGGGAAAATGAAACTGACAAACACTAAGAGAAAAAACATGTGTGTTGGTTATTGGTTCTTTGGTGAGAAAAAACTCTCGTAAAAAACGATATATATATTGTAAATGACAAATATACCCTAAATTATTGGTGAAGGCTAGACACATCATACACATCTGAGGGGAAAATGGCTACTCTGAGTTTAGACACACACAATTGGTTTGTTTTCAAAAACTTGACCATAGAAACACGCACACTCACACGCACACACACACGTATGTATATATACATGCATGTGTATATTTCTACGTAGGTGTAGTAGTTGGTCAGACAGAAGACATACACAGATTTCCACACGATTAACTCAAGATGTTTAATGGCATGGTAACTGGATATATTGGATATTTCTGGTGTTGGAAGACATCAGCACCAATGGAATAACACTAGCTGGTAGTAATTAACAATTACCTGAAACGACAGTTATTCTCTTACAGTATTTTCATTTTCGCTTGTAATAAATAGCATTGAAATCATAGCTATCAACATCGTTATTGTAATTATGATAATTCCAAAAGTGAATAGTAGCCAGAGGCTGGCATCATTATGCGATAATGGCTAATGGAAATCAAATATATGATACTGGATATTCTGTAATCAATAAAACTACCCCAATCCTCAGTACTCCATCTTATAAATCACCGTATCTTCATATCTGACTCTTTAGTTCTTTTTTATATACATATATATAGAATAAATCACTACTGCATAGAAAACATTAATCAGGTATATAGCGGTATTAATATCAGTAAAAACATAATCACATTACCATCACAAATATATTCAATAATGGAAATAATAGCCTATCTGTGGATTTAACTAGAAATGCAGTGATTAACTGAATTACTAATGAAATACCCACCTAATATATATATGCAGCTGAATTTCTATTCAACACCTATTGAGCTAATTCCCTGAATATGCATCACAGAATACAATCAAATGTATAACGACTTAATTCTCTGCTGATATCGTAAAAAACAAAAAAAATACCCCACAAATTATGGATGCTAATAATGCACTGAAATTAGGTAGACTATTTCGTGTGCCTTATGGAGGTGAAGGTGTTGACTTTGTGGATCAGTTAAATTATCAGTTTACAAGTGGTATTATCGTATTATTTATTGTGTTGATTGGATTTCGTCAGTATGTTGGTAAGTTGTACAGACTTTACAATATATATACAATGCGTATATATATATATATATATATATATATATATATATATATATATATATAAACTCTGTTTTTGTAACCATGTACTTAGTTCAGTCTAGCGAAAGTGGTTTAGGCAATTAACTTTAATCTGTATATTCACAAACACCAATAGCTAATTTCGTTTAAAGACGTTGTGTTTTCTACTGAATAGCATAGTTAGAAGGTACGCCTTTCAGATATCTTCCTTCTGATTCAAGGTGAATGTTGAAGAGTTCTTCAAGTGTCGGTTTGTAGGAATTAAACCGATATTATTTTAAATGTTTATCCCGAACCGGTATCAGTTAGACAACCAATCATATGTCTTTCGCACTACTTTGAGATTACATGACAGTCCACACCCATCAGAGGTGGAACCTAAATCCTTCCGGATACGATGCGGGCGCGGTACCATTCAGCCACTGGGATAGAATCAAATGGCTGATGAATTCTAACTTCTGTCCATTTTCAATACACACCATCCCTTCAAAGTAATACTACTGGCCTGACCTGGTGGATCCTACCTGTCACAACCTCTCATGACAGGAAGTCTTTCCCGTAATCTGTCAGCTGATTTCAGTCCCAGGTGAAATCTAACTGAATCAGTCTGATGGAGTAAATAACCGCGACTATTAGCTAACATAAATCACCCTTAGATTACAACTAAACACCTGCATTTTTTGTTATGCAAAATGAAGCAAATTCTCTTACTATATGAAATATAAGAGAACATCACCTTCTCATTGAAGCAATATAATCTTTTGGTTAAATATCTCATTCATGTATTCCATTTTCCCTGATTTACTAAACTTGATAGTAATACTACTTAGTGACTTCTAAACCAACATATGAAAGTTGATTGCCCAATGTGTGAAATGAAGCGCATAATTTATTTATATTTAGCCAACAGAACTGCATACGTTTTAATTAACACCAAACATATTGATATGAAAATGAAGATGCATCGGGCATACTGTGCCGAATGACACAGCACACCAGGCTAGCCTTCGAGTGGAATCCCAATGAGAAGCGATGAATAGGTCGTTGGTGCGAGGGTGACATGGAGAAGATCATGTGAGTAAGAGATGAGAGAGTTTGGTCAATCTTGGATACAGCTGAAGAGGGCGGCAGAAAATAGAACAAACTGGAGATCTGTTGTTGAAGAGCTATATTCTACTCGGAACGCAAAGGAATAATAATATTTATGTGCGTTTTGCTTTAGATTTAGGCGGGTAGTTGTTTCACTCAAATCAGACACTGTAAGTGTAGCAGATACACATGAAAACTATATTTATAGGAACCACAAGAGATACTAAGATGTGTATCAAAGTTTTCACTCAAAACTATTGTTTACCCTCCAAAATGGCATTTTCCGACACCTTTTAATACAAGGAGAGATTTAAGGATAAACTATTTCCATTTTCTATAGTTTTGGTTTGTAAGGATTAGTTATGTTTTACGAGCTAAATCACGAATTGGTAGAAGTTAGAATTCACGAGCCGTTGAATCGGGTCCCAGTGGCTGAATGGTATACGAGCTTGCCTTGTAACCGGAAGGTCCCGGGTTCGAACCGCAGTCAGTGGGTGCGTACTTCCGATGATTCCCAAACTAGGATGAAACAGCAGCTGTCCAGTACTCCCTGGTTTTCAATGGTTCTCTAACTGATATCAATCCGTGATCAACTCGTAAAATATTTCCATTTTTTCTAAACACAACTTATAAACATAAAATAAACTTACACCACTAATTTGGTGTAATTAATAATGTCTAGGATGGCAAGATAGTATGCGCTCGTTTTTTATTCTTTCTCAGATTCTTTTCATCTACTTACAACCTAAAAATATACCAAAAGGTATAAATTAACAGTAGCAGGAGAAAGTAGAGTCAGTCTCTAATCATCTCGGTGATTATATTCACAAAACGATGCGTCATCTAATCATTCCAAACTTCTTTTGTGTTTCAGATTTTACTGAATGACTTTTCTTTCTAATTATTTAGTTGAATTTTAGATTTTCCCGTCGATAGATTGGACCGAAGTGCTTGGCTTCTTATGCAGATGCTTCGATGATGTCTGGGCACGTAGTTAGAATTAAACTGGTGGGTGTTGACATGTCAACTTGAGACTGAGCACTTCGGTCCAATCAATCAACGTGAAAATCTGGAATTCAATTAAATAATTAATATCGCGCGTTGCACAAGAAGTGGCCCAAGCGGTATAGTGGATAACGCTTTGGCGTTTGAAACTACGGGGACTGGGTTCGAGAATCGGTGGGAACATCATCACCTACTGGGGAATGCAGGTACTTCCAGATGACGAGTCCCAAATAGGACGAAATGCACATCCTGGATTCCACTGCTAGTCACCATCTACTAGACTTTTCTTTGTATTCTCAAATATCTTTTTCTAGTTATGCCACCTGTTATACCAACATACTATTTCTAATTAAATTTTGTTTCTATCCGAATTCTGAATTCAAACCCCATTTTCTCAAGAATAATTGTCGTATAAATAATCAGTCTTTTAAACACTTAATTATTCAACTACATACATCATTCTGGACTTATCTTAGTTATGCATTTCAATAATAACTTTTCAACGAGATAAATATATATTTAAGTCCATTTTGTTTCTCCGCTGATTGACTAGGCCGAGATGTCGAATAATTACTGATACTCTTTGGACAAGAGGTGGCTGTCATGGCCAAATTGGTATAGTGGATATGGTTCTGATGTTTGAAACGGTGGGTGCCGGTTTTTAGTCTCTGTGGGAACATTATCAGTCACTGAGAATCTCAGTAACGCCCATGTGAAGAATACCATGTAGGGCGAAATGAGCATCCTGGATGTCACTGCTGGTCACCCTCCACCAAATAACATTGTGATAAAAATATTTTACATATTTTTTTGTAATGTACATATTTTATTATTATTTAGGTCATAAGTAGACAAGAAGAGTCCATGAAATAATGAAAATTGAGGTCATTTCATACAACTGAATTTGTTGTTCTTTCTTTGTTATAGTTTCTCAGTGGGAAGAATTATATGAGAATTTTATTATCTAATGGCAAGAGAATAATTAGCCGGTATTCTATCTTTAGAATAAGCAACTTAAATAAGTCAGTGAAATCTACCCCGTGAATAATCAGCTTAATAGTGATTATACTAAGTTGTAGATAATTATTATTTTATAATCATGAAACAGGTTATATTACTGAACAGAATGTACGACAAATGCTTAGATAAATAAAGTGCTTTGTTAGGCGATCAGTTGATAGTTAGGCTAGTGGAGGGGTTGTTTAAACTACTGTTGAATACACACAAGTGTGTCTTATAATAGTGGACTATAGTCGCTTCTCTGATGTGAATTTCACGAGTGTCTAATGAATGAATTAGAATAGATCGTACGGAAAGAATAATTTTAGACACTTCTCTAGTGTCCTTGTGAATTACAAAAATAATAATACTATCAACATTGTGTGTCATTGATTCAGTGGAAGGGTGCGTGCCAACCACTCACTTGGTCCGAGATTAGATTCTTGGTCGCCGCACTCCTGTAGTAAGCCCGGTAAAGACGGAAGATTGGACATGAGACTAACAGTTCCGCAAAGCAGAAAACTTCAAAAACCACCTTATATTCTACTCGGAACTCAAAGGGATGAAAAAAACAGCTTTATTCTGAGAAATCCGTTAATGCATATCACAGAATTCTTAGAATTTTCTATTGTAGAGTATTTACTCAATGTGTAGAATTTTCAAGCAATTTATTAACCGGTAGTTTATCACTTGAAGTAATAAATTTCCATGCAAAACACCGGTTGTAAACTATTTGAAAATAGATGTCAGTACACATATTGTTTCAGAAGACGTAGATGGGTGGTTAAAACAACATGAAATAGAATAACTAAGATGCATTTTTATTGGATGGAAAATTAGGTAGCCCAGTAGTGTTTTAACAGACCACCAGTGGGTGCGTACTGCTGAAGAGTCCCAAACCAGGATGGGGGAAATAACTGTCCAGTACTCTTAGCTGGTTTTCCAATTGTTCGCTAACTGATATCAGCTCATGATGAAATCCTCCAACCAGTCAAACAAAATCCCTAAAAAACCAGTAGAGTACAGCAGGTTGAAGATGAGGCAGTAATTCATCAAAGAAGACAGCGAAATGATCGCGCAAAGTTGTGAATCGACAGAAGCTAGAATTCACTCACTGGCCATTGGGTCAGGTCTCAGTGGCTCAATGGTCTATGAGCTCGCTCGCCTTGTAACCAAAAGGTCTTGGGTTCAAACCCCGGTGGTGGGTGGGTGCATGCCACTGAAGAGTCCCAAACTATGACGAAACTGCTGTCCAGTACTCCCTGCAGGTTTTCCAATGGTTCTGTAACCAATGTCACCTGATGATGAAATCCTTCATACAATTGAAAATAATTGTTGTAATATACACAGGTGTAAATATATGTGTATACAAGTGCAGAGTTGACGACTTGGAAGTGGAACACACTCCATTCCATTCAACACAGCCCACAACATAATATCTAGACGTTTCTGTTTAAGAGTTTGAGAATGATAACTAATCAACATTAGTTACATTATCCAAAAACAAATATTGAATTTTATTTTCATTCCACTAAAATGTATCGTATTTATAGTATGCGCTAGCTGACTTGACTTATATGAATAATGGTACTACTATATATTGGTCTATTCAACTGCCCTGATAAATCGTCACATCTGTTAGATTATAGAGACACATGTCGCGAATTACAGCATATTTATAAAAAAACAAAGTCTAATTCTAAGATAAATAAATATATTGTCTGTTATATATATTCTATTTATTTATTCCACTTAATGTTTTCGACTATCGTCTGTACTTGGAGTGAGTCATTTCTTTTTAGACTAGGAACGTGTTTATAACCGGCATCAAAATCATACAGTTTGTTTTACGGAAAATTACTATTAT